CTTGGGAAAGATCAAGGAAGCGTTTGACCGGAACTCTGAGCTGCAGAGTTTGCTGCTGGATAACTTCTTCAGCAAAGCTGTACAGGATTGTCAGGTACAGGAAGTGAGCCAAGAGTGGCCACAAATTGCTCTGTTTCCTGTAATAGTGACACTAAATACACCAGAGAGAAATCAGCGGCACTAATGGCAGCCTAATGTTTACATGCATTTATATAAAAGTATATGTACAGTGCCTCTTAAAAGTAATGTTTACTTAATGCCTTGGGGAAGTCGTAGGTCGTACGTTAGAAGTCGTAGGTTAAAGAGTCGGACTCGTAACCCAGAGGTTGCGGGTTCGAGTCTCGTACCGGCAGGGATTGTAGGTGGGGGGAGTGAATGTACAGCGCTCTCTCCCACCTTCAATACCACGACTGAGGTGCCCTTGAGCAAGGCACCGAACCCCCAACTGCTCCCCGGGCGCAGCAAAAAATGGCTGCCCACTGCTCCGGGTGTGTTTTCACGGTGTGTGTGTGTTCACTGCTGGGTCACCATACTTGGCCACATGTCACATGACACGTCAAATATATACACAATATACACAGTCCAAACTGATATGACACCTTCTGCTCCACCTGGACTATGATGAAATATTTAAATAATTTTACATAGTATAACCATAGTACATAGTATATATTTATTTCAATACTGCATGCAGTTACTATAGCAAAACCATACACGGTACAGACTATTTTGTGTGTGTTTCTCCAGGATTCTGAAAAAGTTTGGAATTCATCAGTAAACTTATACTGTTACAAGTAGCATTTATGGATAGCATATCCTGTATTCAGTGACTATTTCATATTATTTTATGAAATGAATTTAAATTATTTAAGATCTATGCAGTCAATGAAAGTGTATCAATGCTTTTCTCCACCCAGTGAATGTTGCAATTCTGTAAACACTAGGAAGTGGAGATAATGTTTCATGTAAAGATCCCACACGCACAGAAATGAGGAAACTGTTTGATTTTACAATCTCATAACTGTAGATTGGCTATGAATAAAGGTCATGAATCTTTAATTCGCAGTGTTTTCTTGGGAAAGATCAAGGAAGCGTTTGACCAGAACTCTGAGCTGCAGAGTTTGCTGCTGGATAACTTCTTCAGCAAAGCTGTACAGGATTGTCAGGTACAGGAAGTGAGCCAAGAGTGGCCACAAATTGCTCTGTTTCCTGTAATAGTGACACTACATACACCAGAGAGAAATCAGCGGCACTAATGGCAGCCTAATGTTTACATGCATTTATATAAAAGTATATGTACAGTGCCTCTTAAAAGTAATGTTTACTTAGTGCCTTGGGGAAGTCATAGCCTAATGGTTAAAGAGTCGGACTCGTAACCCAGAGGTTGCGGGTTCGAGTATCGTACCGGCAGGGATTGTAGGTGGGGGGAGTGAATGTACAGAGCTCTCTTCCACCTTCAATACCACGACTGAGGTGCCCTTGAGCAAGGCACCGAACCCCCAACTGCTCCCCGGGCGCAGCAAAAAATGGCTGCCCACTGCTCCGGGTGTGTTTTCACGGTGTGTGTGTGTGTTCACTGCTGGGTCACCATACTTGGCCACATGTCACGTCAAATATATACACCATATACACAGTCCAAACTGATATGTCACCTTCTGCTCCACCTGGACTATGATGAAATATTTAAATAATTTTACATAGTATAACCATAGTACATAGTATATATTTATTTCAATACTGCATGCAGTTACTATAGCAAAACCTTACACGGTACAGACTATTTTGTGTGTGTTTCTCCAGGATTCTGAAAAAGTTTGGAATTCATCAGTAAACTTATACTGTTACAAGTAGCATTTATGGATAGCATATCCTGTATTCAGTGACGATTTCATATTATTTTATGAAATGAATTTAAATTATTTAAGATCTATGCAGTCAATGAAAGTGTATCAAATGTAATCATGTAGTTTAGCACTGAAGATTTCATAAAATGCTGTGCATTGGTAGTAATTGGTTTGTATGAGCTACAGTATTTAGCTACAATATTCCAGCAATTATTTGGCAACATAATAGCATGCATAGTCAGAATGTAACATAAATAAATGTTATCAGTCGGATTTTAAAGTCATTTATCAGTTGTTAAAGCTGCAGTCCGTAACTTTTGGCACTCTAGCGGTAAATAAACAGAACTGGCTGCGTTTTGTGGAAGAACATTGTAGCCGGAGCTACTTCTCTCTGTTTATGTCTATGGCGAATCACGCAGGTACAGGGCTACTCCGCAGCGGTACCTACCCGAACCAGTCTAAAATAATCTGCATATAAACACTTATTATAGGTGTACCGTAGTGATTCAGGACAAGCCAAAAACACGGTTTGGAAAATGGATTCATGGTGTATTCGATTATTATATAAATTTTGAACACAAAAAAATTACAGACTGCAGCTTTAAAAATATTCTCTGAAAATCCACTGAGAAGTTTGGAAATGCATGTCATTTTGAAATGGAAATTATGTAGCAACAGCGGTTTACTTTAAAAACTGATCTAAAGGTTTGTTGGTAATAATGGGGAAAATATATGTAGAATGGGTTTTATTTAGCAGTACGTTGGTTGTGTTTTGCAGGACTCATGGCGTGGGGTAGTAAGTACAGGTGTGCAGCAGGGGATCCCCATGCCGTGCTTCACCACCGCCCTGTCCTTCTATGATGGCTACAGGCACGAGATGCTCCCAGCAAACCTGCTGCAGGTAAAACTCCCTACAACTCACAAACCCTCTCTCTCTCTCTCTAACTAACCATGTGGGATATCACAGGGATGACTTCTGGACACTTATGGTTCTAGGCATTTGAATCTCTTAGTATTCATATGGTAGAGATTTTATTTTATTTTATTATTTATTTAAAATAAATTAGAATAAAGAATTGAATTACTTTTTGTCTTTTTGGTTAGAATAAGAATTAGTACTCTTGCTTCAGACTCTTTATGAGTCTCTCCTTTTTATTTTAATACTCAAGAAGTTGTTCTCTCTTTGTATTTATCACTGGCTGAGCTAATATCACCTCTTAACATCGTCACTCTTCAGGCACAGAGGGACTATTTTGGTGCCCACACATATGAGCTGCTATCAAACCCTGGAAAGTTCAATCACACTAACTGGACAGGCCACGGAGGAAAAGTGTCGTCATCATCCTATAATGCCTAAAATCAAGAGTGTTATTAGGTTAAACAGCAAAGAACATCATCTCCTCTCGATGAAGGACCAGAGCAGCTGAGCACATTCCTCCCGAAGAGCTGAACTTCAGGCCACAGTAGAGCTCTTACTGAAGAGTGTTCAAATGCATATTTCTATTTATACTAAATCACTATTTGTAAGCTCTGTTCTTTAGTTTTAAGGTCCACTGTTGCAAACACCGCATTTCTTAGTAAGACTGTTGTTTCTGAGATTCTTCTTGGTGTAGACTGGTCATGCTTTGCCCCCAGAGTTCACAGTGTTAACCCTGGATTATGGGTAACTATTGCACTGCTTTAGGCTAAATAAAGATTTCAATCCCTTTTTAATTAGCTTTTGTCTTCTTCTCTCACATGCTGTCTACGGCAAACAGGATTTACTCCTGCTTATTTTTAACAGTAAATGCTAGATGTATAACTTGTTTATTTGTATGTACTTCTACTTTGTCACCAGGAGAGGGCAGAAATGACTTTTTAGAGCAATGAGCTTGTTTACACTAGTAATGGGTTCAGCTGAGTGATTCTTCTTTCAGGATGAAACGATAACAACCCACATGTAATATAAAAGACCTACAGTGTCTTTGCCTGCTAACAGTTGAAATGAAATTTTTATGAGTAATAGGTAAATATCTTGAAACTATCCAGAGGAGCGTTACATTTGAGATTTTTTAACATTAAAAGACACTTGAGTAATATGCTCAAATAAACATCCCAGTAAAGTAACCACAGTTATTATAGTTTTACATTTTAATTTAGTTTTTATTTCTATTTTATTGAGAATATTTAGTTTTTATTTTAGTTTTAGGGCTGACAAAGTTGCATTTAAAAACTTTTACCAGTTTCTCAGCACCGTCTGGTGTTATTGCTGTTCATGTTTACTGCAGGTTTCGAGTTTGATAAGATTTGTCATGTATCTACAACAAACATTTGTGTCCATTTTTACTTTATTTTAGTTAGTTTTGGAGTCATGAAAATGAATTATAGTTTAGTTTCAGTAGGTCCCAGTTACGTTAAATTGTGTATATATATATATATATATATATATATATATATATATAAATTAATTTCATTTTCCTTAACACAAATATAGAAAATAAATTTTTACTATGATGCTTTCTGATATGTAAGGCACATTTAGTGTTGAACCAAACATAAAGCAAGGGGAAAATGGCTGTAAAAATAGGATTTCCTCCTGGTTAAGACACACTGCACCAATATCCTTAATTCACCTCCAACCTGTTTAAAGATCAAAGCGCTGAAGAGAGCAGCAGGTGCCTCTCATATACTGTATGTGTGACCAAAGACGTCACTTCCTTGTGAAGATTTTCAAAAGGTCCTGCCACAGAGCGAGAGCTTGTAATAAAGCTCTACCCTACAGAGTAGCCTTAAAATGCAACAAGAACTCCAGAGATGAGTGTTAATCTGTACCGTATTGTTCTACTAAATACATTTTAGGTAGAATATGTTGTTTATGCTATTTACTATGAAGCAACTGTTTGAAATGGTGAGTTTAAGTATGCCCATGGCCTGATTACTCAGGAAAAGAACATCTCAGTGATTAAAAGACACTTCAAACAGAGGACACACTAGAACTAGGCAGTTTAGAATAGTATTGTAAAGGAGTCGTAGGCGAACTGTGCCGAGTCATCATGGTGAACAAGGCAATTCAGCGCATGGAGAGCAGGACAGGAAGTGGACACCCTATTTTGAGCTGTCTGCTGATTAATTATGCATCGGCTGGGGAGGAGTCTGGCTACAGATGAAGTCTGACACAAACACGAGATGCTGCAGTTTGAACCGACAAATACCAAAGAACAACACTTCCTTTAAAAGCCAAAGTATGTATATGATAAAGCATGTTTCGTCTTAATGCATGATTACGGTTGTGTTAAGGTGACCTAGGTGGGTGCCTTTTAGAGCATGTGGGGGATTGTTTTTTGCGGAAATAATATCAGTTCCATACAGGAATTATGAAATGAATTACTGTACATTTGTTCAGGATGTTTTTAAGTTTACAAGTACCCTTATGAAAATTGTTCATGAATGGATGTCCTCACAATAAGATAAAATAGTTCCAAAAATGTGAACAATAACCCTAGATATTACTAAATAAGGTCATTTTCTAATGGCTTTCTTCCCCTGTACTGTGTCGGTATCTTTTGTGAAGGTACCTCTCTCAAACATGATGATGGGAGTTAGATGGGACAATCGAGCAGCGGTTGAGAGAAGCATGTTCATTATGCGGGTGATGCTGAGCCTGTTTCCTCTGGTTCTTGTGGTCTGGAATGGTGAGGCGTCACCTGTACAAGACAAACAATCACACACCAATGAGGTGAATCTCTTATTTAAAGTGTTTTAATGGGGGAAAACGTGCATGGGCTCATATTTGTTAGTATTTCCTAAGATCTTTGTCAGTGGCTAAGAATAACTGGACTGCAGTGTTGTAATACTGTTAATGCTGTAAAGATCTATAGCAGTGATCTAATACTCAAGCCCAAAGATATGTCTCATCTTCTAGATACTGACCACAGACCAGAAGGACTTGAAGAAGATGATGACGGATAAGGCTGAGCTGAACCTCACTAGTAAAGAACTAGCTGACCCTGATTTTCTGGGAGAGAAGTCTGTTTTTGAACCAACCCCTCGAGATAAATCTCCTTGCAGGCTCTTCTTCTGGAAGACCTTCTCCTCGTGTTAAAACTAGAAAACAGAACAGAGAGATGAGTCTGTTGAAATCTACAGTCCTGCCTTTGCAGTTTAACGCATTGTATTAAAATCAATGTGTATGTCTTGGCTTCTGCTGTTCTTTTATTGTATTTTATGTCAAAGGACTTTGAAACTACTTATTGTTCGAGGTAACAAAAAATAAATAAATACAAATAAATCTCCAAAAAATACAATGGCTGTGTGCATGTAGCCTACACTTTATACTGTTTGCCATCCAAGCCTAAAATACTGTAATAAAAGTTATACCGATCCCTTCATGTCAGTCCTATAACTTTACCTTGAAAATGATAAATAACACCGCTATGCTACGTTATTATAGCTTTGCTTAAGAAAATCACACAACCGTCATTGTGAAGTGTACGTTAGTCGTTATTAAGTGAAGGCACCACCTAACGGCAAGACAAGGAAACTTCTTCTTCGTAGATGTGGCTTGCAGATACAGAAGTCATCTGGCACGGAAGGTATGTAATATTTTGATACATATATGCCAAAGCAATAGGTAACTTGAGACAGGATATATGGTTTTAAAGGAATTTTCTGGGTTAAGTCAAAGACGACAGCGTTACTTTGTACCATATTTGATTATTCAAAGATAACTTAGCCCCATTAGATACTTTTTTTTAACATTTACATCAATGAACTGGCGAGCAGTCTAGAGCGATCTGCAGCCCCTGGCCTCACCCTACACAACTCTCAGATCAGATGCCTGCTGTATGCAGATGATCTGGTTCTGCTGTCTCCCACTCAACACGCTTTACAGCAGAACCTGGACCTGCTAGAGGAATACTGCCAGACTTAGGCTCTGACAGTCAACCTGAAGAAAACCAGAATTATGATCTTTCAGAAAAGATCCAGATCCCAGGGAACACCACACACATTTACATTAGGCACTAAGCAGATAACACACACATCACACTATAACTACCTGGGTTTGAAAATCACATCCACGGGAAACTTTAATCATGCTGTGAATGAACTGAGAGATAAATCACGCAGGGCCTTCTACGCCATAAAACGGCAATGTCCTATTAGAATTTGTCTGAAAATATTAGAATCAGTAATTGAGCCCATTGCCCTCTATGGCAGTGAGGTGTGGGGTCCACTGACAAATCCAAATCAAGATTTCACCAAATGGGGAAAAACATCCCATTGAGACCCTGCAAAAATATATTACACGTGCACCGGCACACAATAAAATGCATGCAGGGCAGAATTAGGCAAATATCCTCTAATCAAAAAGATACAAAAAAGGGCAATTAAATTCTGGAAACATCTGAAGCTCAGTGATCCCCAATCATATCATTATAAAGCCCTGCAATACCAAGAGATTTAAAACTCTTTCAAACCAGGAGAAACTGCCGTATCTGTTAGGAGAACAGAATAACTGCTGTGTTTGCTGCTCAATATGTGTCTACCCGTCACCATAGAAAACACTCAATCTGCCCTGATCTGATGTTTCCAGCACATCTACATTATATTACTTAATGTATATTTTGCTTCTGTAAATATGTCTAATCCCTTATTTTATTTTTATTTCTAGTTTATATACTTACATTAGTAATTCATTTTGCACTACATGCTTAATACTTTCTATATATTATTACTATTATTCTTTTTCTTTCTGTTAATACGTGTGTATTTGTAAGCAGTCCAGCTGCAATTGCTTTGGCAATACAAATGTATAATTTTTGTCATGCCAATAAAGCACACTTAAATTGAAATTGAGCGCAAGAGAGAGAGAGGGGGTCACATCACAAACACATACCAGCTTCATCACTGTGTCTGTCACGCGCCTCTGTTCCCCTTTCGGGCTCTGTCTTTACATTTATTTTGAAAGCTGAAGCTGCGATTATGGTAAGGGGCGTTACATTTCCGACTAGTGCTTGCGGTGTTCGGCCAATCACAATGCACTGGGTCAGCTGGCCAATCAGAGCAGACTGCGCTTGTTGGAAGGAGGGACTTTGTAGAAAACGAAGCGTTTGAGAGAGGCGGGGCATAGAGGACCTACAATAATGTACAGTATTTGAAAAATTATGTGTTTTTTGAACATTAAAGCATGTCAACATATTCTGTTACACCAAATAATGATCTTTAAAAAAAAGCATATGACCCCTTTAATATCATATTCAGCAGTTATTTACTTCAAGGAAAAAACTATCTGCAGTTCTGCTTGTTCAACTGATATTCCACAAATAAGACAAACAGCAAAACTACTAAATAGTATGTTTGCGTTATATTAAAATCTAGTACTTTGCAATGTACTAAACAAGTAGGTTAAACTTCAAATGAAATTAATGAAACATTTCAGGTAAAATAAAAAGAGATACGGTTACAATTCCTCTGTGTATGTTTATTAAGTATTTTGAAAAATGGAAATCCTGCCAGTGATTCAAGTCATTGATAACACAAACCCCATTCACAAAATCCTATCGGTTCACCCACAACAGAACACTATGAAAAATAGGCCTTTTCAACTTACACTACACTATATTTACAGTGGGACAGATCATGTAAAAGCAATCAAACAAAAGAAGGACTTAAAAGCAAGATCAATGACTGCATTGACTTCTTGCGTAAAACAGAGCTGGAAATACACAAGCATGAACATGAAGTCATTTGCAATGGGACTGATCCATAAACACACTGGTTTAACTTTGCTTTTAGATTGCAAAGGTCTGTCTTTAGTCACGCACGCACGCCAATTGGGAATCGTCCATTGAAATTTCAATAAGGGAAATCCAGGGAAATCTGGTTACAGTGAAGTGATGTAGTCCCTTTTCAGGTTAAAGGCATACAGCAGCAGTCTCCACAGATGAACTGTGTGAACTTCAGTCTTCAGCTCTCCCATTAGGGACTTCACTCAGGGTTCTGAGGTAAACCTGGGCCAGCCGAATCCAGCGTCCCTATACATGCAAATTAAATAAGTGTTTGCAATTCAATTAATGTCTTGAAGCAAATAAGCCACTATTAAAATAACTAGTCAAATTATTTTTTTATTTGAGTTCCCTTAGATTCACAAAACATATAAAAAGCACTCAAAACACAGAACAAAAGCACCCTCTTCTTGAAGCATTCTTCGCTTTCATCAATACATCACCCCAGTTAAGCCACTCAGAGCTCACGCTCGCCCTCATTCACCGCCCACTCCCAGAGCCCCGCCCACAGACAGCATCACATCACGTTCACACACGAGTTCAGTAACAGCGAGATAGAACACACACCATACACAGCACTCACATCAAATTATTAAGCAAGAACACTTAAATTGAAATTGAATTGAGCGCAAGAGAGAGAGAGGGGGTCACATCACAAACACATACCAGCTTCATCACTGTGTCCGTCACGCGCCTCTGTTCCCCTTTCGGGCTCTGTCTTTACATTTATTTTGAAAGCTGAAGCTGCGATTATGGTAAGGGGCGTTACATTTCCGACTAGTGCTTGCGGTGTTCGGCCAATCACAACGCACTGGGTCAGCTGGCCAATCAGAGCAGACTGCGCTTGTTGGAAGGAGGGACTTTGTAGAAAACGAAGCGTTTGAGAGAGGCGGGGCATAGAGGACCTACAATAATGTACAGTATTTGAAAAATTATGTGTTTTTTGAACATTAAAGCATGTCAACATTCTGTTACACCAAATAATGATCTTTAAAAAAAAGCATCATATGACCCCTTTAATATCATATTCAGCAGTTATTTACTTCAAGGAAAAACTATCTGCAGTTCTGCTTGTTCAACTGATATTCCACAAATAAGACAAACAGCAAAACTACTAAATAGTATGTTTGCGTTATATTAAAATCTAGTACTTTGCAATGTACTAAACAAGTAGGTTAAACTTCAAATGAAATTAATGAAACATTTCAGGTAAAATAAAAAGAGATACGGTTACAATTCCTCTGTGTATGTTTATTAAGTATTTTGAAAAATGGAAATCCTGCCAGTGATTCAAGTCATTGATAACACAAACCCCATTCACAAAATCCTATCGGTTCACCCACAACAGAACACTATGAAAAATAGGCCTTTTCAACTTACACTACACTATATTTACAGTGGGACAGATCATGTAAAAGCAATCAAACAAAAGAAGGACTTAAAAGCAAGATCAATGACTGCATTGACTTCTTGCGTAAAACAGAGCTGGAAATACACAAGCATGAACATGAAGTCATTTGCAATGGGACTGATCCATAAACACACTGGTTTAACTTTGCTTTTAGATTGCAAAGGTCTGTCTTTAGTCACGCACGCACGCCAATTGGGAATCGTCCATTGAAATTTCAATAAGGGAAATCCAGGGAAATCTGGTTACAGTGAAGTGATGTAGTCCCTTTTCAGGTTAAAGGCATACAGCAGCAGTCTCCACAGATGAACTGTGTGAACTTCAGTCTTCAGCTCTCCCATTAGGGACTTCACTCAGGGTTCTGAGGTAAACCTGGGCCAGCCGAATCCAGCGTCCCTATACATGCAAATTAAATAAGTGTTTGCAATTCAATTAATGTCTTGAAGCAAATAAGCCACTATCAAAATAACTAGTCAAATTATTTTTTATTTGAGTTCCCTTAGATTCACAAAACATATAAAAAGCATTCAAAACACAGAACAAAAGCAACCTCTTCTTGAAGCATTCTTCGCTTTCATCAATACATCACCCCAGTTAAGCCACTCAGAGCTCACGCTCGCCCTCATTCACCGCCCACTCCCAGAGCCCCGCCCACAGACAGCATCACATCAAGTTCACACATACGAGTTCAGTTACAGTGAGATAGAACGCACACCATACACAGCATTCACATCAAATTAAGCAAGAACACATACTTAGTAGGTCACTTAAAACATTCCACTACATATCTTTTTTTTTTTAAATGCAGCTCTTTAAATAGGATTGCAATATAAGAAAGGGAGGAAGGTAGACAGAACAAGAGGGACGGAAGAATGTAAATGAACGTCCTTCTACAGAAGAAACACTCGCTGCCTTCGTTCACACTCGTTCACACAGATTCTTCTCAGTCTCGCAGTCAAGTCGCTTTTCGGCATCGCACACTTGCGTTCAAGTTCTCTCTCTCAGCGC